AGGCAGAGCTCTGGAGAAGCAAGTTGCCCGCTGAGCAAGGAGCCTGATGCGGGACTCAATCCCAGAACCTTGGGATCATGACCTGAGCCAAAGGCAGACATTAAAAGGACCAAGCCACCCAGGCGTCCCTCTTATGGGTTTTTTAAAATTATTTTTTAAAGTTTAATTTGTTTTAAATTTTTTAAAGATTTTATTTATTTATTTGAGAGGGAGAGAGAGCGGGAGCACGAACCTGGGAGAGGGGAGAGGGAGAGGGAGAAGTGGGCTCCCTGCTGAGCAGAGGGGCTTGATCCTAGGACCCCGGGGTCATGACCTGAGTCTGAGACAGATGCTTAACCGCTTAACCCACCAAGCCTCCCAGAAGCCCCCAAGTTTTATATTTTTAAATAATCTCTACACCCAACGTGGGCCTTGAACTCCCAACCCCAAGATCAAGAGTGCGCTCTACTGACTGAGCCTGCCAGGCGCTCCTGGTTTCTTGTTTTCTAACTCTGACAGGCTCTCTCCAATCCCCTCGGCATAAGACAGGAGCACCAGAGGAACTCCCCCTCTGCACCGCCCACCTTCAGTCAGACATGCTTTTATTCTGAATTGCCACTTACAGTCTGTCCAGCAACTACACCCAACCACATGGAGCCTCCTCCCAGATTACCAACAAATGTCATTCATGTTACCTCGATGGTATAAATATTACATACGGCCAGCCTCCGAGCGCTCGCTCTCACTTTCCTCATCTCTAAAATAGGGGCAGCAGAGCACATCCGAACACCTCCTAGCACTAGGTGAAGAGGGCAAGAAATGCGAAGGGCAAAAGACTTTCAGTAAATAAAAGATCTTCTTTTTCTGTAATTATTCCCTGGCACAGCATGGAGAGGTAATAACGGCTCATACTCTTTGGGCCACTGAGAAGACCTTTTGAACCTCAATTTCTTCACCAGTAAGATGGGGAGGATATTAGTACCTAGTTCACTCAGTGGTTGTAAAGTTTAACTGAGGGACACCTGGGTGGCTCAGTCGGTTAAGTGTCTGCTTTTGGCTCAGGTGATGGTCCCAGGGTCCTGGGATCAAGTCCCACGTCTGGCTCTCTACTCAGTGGGGAGCCGGCTTCTCCCTCTCCCTCTGCCTGCCGCTCTCCTTGCTTGTGCTCTCCCTCTGTCAAATAAATAAATAAAATCCTAAAAAAAAAAAAAGATTGATTGAAATTGAAGTGCTTTGTCTTCAGCGCCTCACTATCCCGATTTAAGGGATCATGACTTCATTTCCGTCTTTCTGGGAGAGAAAACTGCAGTTCAGGCCCCCACACAGCAGGCTGTGGTTGGGAAAAATGCACAGCGCTCTCTAAAGGACATTTGGGGAACAACTGGATAATATGAATAGGGCCCACAGATTAAATAGTTCTGCTAAATCCAGTTATCATTGGCTGTGATTATGGTACTTACTATGGTTATGTAGGAGAAGGCCCTTGTCCTTAGGAAATACATGCTGAAGTATTTAGGGCTTAAGTGTCATGATGTCAGTAAATTATATTCAAATGGCTCAGGAGAAAGAGAGAGAAGGAGACACAAAGAGCATAGTGTATCAAAATGTTAAGTCAGGGGCGCCTGGGTGGCTCAGTCGGTTAAGCCTCTGCCTTCAGCTCAGGTTATGATCCCAGGGTCCTGGGATCCAGCCCTGCATAGGGCTCTCTGCTTGGCAGGGAGCCTGCTTCCCCCTCTCTGTCTCTGCCTGCCTCTCTGCCTACTTGTGATCTCTGTCTGTCAAATAAATAAATAAAATCTTTAAAAAAAAAAAAAAAGTTAAGTCAGGGGCACCTGGGTGGCTCAGTCGGTTAAGCATTGACTTTGGCTCAAGGTCATTATCTAGGGGTCCTGGGATCCAGTCTTGCATTTGCACTGGGCTCCCCACTGAGCAGGAGTCTGCTTCTCCTTTTCCCTCTGCCCCTCCCCCCAGTTGTGCTGTCTAATAAATAAATAAATTTTTGTTAATTTAAAAACTTTTTTAAAGATTTTATTTATTTAATAGACAGAGAGAGACAGCGAGAGCAGGAACACAAGCAGGGTGAGTGGGAGAGAGAGAAGCAGGCTTCCCGCTGCGCAGGGAGACTGATGAGGGCCTCGATCACAGGACCCTGGGATCACGACCTGAGTCAAAGGCAGATGCTTAACCACTGAGCCACCCAGGCACCCCGAATAAAGAAATTTTTTTTAAAGATTTTATTTATTTATTTATTTGACAGACAGACATCACAAGTAGGCAGAGAGGCAGGCAGAGAGAGAGAGAGGAGGAAGCAGGCTCCCCGCTGAGCAGAGAGCCCAATGTGGGGCTCGATCCCAGAACCCCGAGATCATGACCTGAGCCGAAGGCAGAGGTTTTAACCCACTGAGCCACCCAGGTGCCCCATAAAGAAATTCTTTTTTTTTTTTTAAAGATTTTATTTATTTATTTGACAGACAGAGATCACAAGTAGGCAGAGAGAGAGGGGAAAGCAGGCTCCCTAAGGAGCAGAGAGCCCGATGTGGGACTCGATCCCAGGATCCTGAGATCATGACCTGAGCCGAAGGCAGAGGCTTAACCACTGAGCCACCCTGGTGCCCCCATAAAGAAATTCTTAAAAAAAAAAAGTTAACGGGGTGCCTGGGTGACTCAGTCGGTTAAGCATCTGACTTCTGCTCAAGTCTCCATCCTGGGGTTCTGGGATCAAGCTCTGCATGAGGCTCCCTGCTCAGCAGGGATTTGCTTCTCCCTCTCCCTCTGCCTGCTGCTCCACTTGCTTATGCTCTCTCTCCTTCTCTGTGTCAAATACGTAAATAAAATCTTAAAAAAAAAAAACCACAAAAACCTGTTAACAATCAGTGAATCCTGATATTAGTGGTCCTAACCTTTCACTTTCTCTACTGGTTTGACATTTTTCAGAGTAAAACCTCGTGCGTGGGGGGCAGGGCACTTTCGGCGTTGGAAAGCACCCTACAGGTCACGCAGCCCTTTTGCCTACTCTGGGGATTAGGTGTAGGCTCCGACACCGCAACTCCCACGGTCACCTCCCGGTGAGGCAGGGGCAGCTTTGCTGACACTGGAAAGCCCTTGGGAAGCGGACCGTGCCCAGGACGTGATGGAGAGCTCCCAGCTTAGGGGGGCCAACAGTCAGCAGTCTGTCGTGCAGGGATGCCCCAGGGAACGGAGCCCTGCTCCTGAAGCTTTGGGGAGGGAGGGCTGAGGGACAGAACAGCCCCAGATGAGAGACCAGGCAGACAGCTGACCCGCCTGGGTCCTGGCTGAGGCTCCTTCACCGGGTGTCTCATCAGCTGTCTCTCTTTTGTTAAAAGGAAAGCAGGAAGAGAACAGTTGGTGTCTTAGCACTACCCAGAACCCGGTTACTCCTTCCAGTCAACTCAATTATCTGCACCAATGAACTGGGAAAAGAGGCTCTGGGAATTGACTTTGTATTCTATGCTACCCTTGCCATCTACAAAAAAAAAAAAAAAAAAAAAAAAAGGTAATACCAAAACAAAACGGATCAGTTCAACAACAAACAATATAAAGCAAAAGATGCAGTTGGACTCTCTCATTCCTTTATGCTGTCATGTTCCTGTCTTTTCCCTGACAGGCCAGCTCCCAGGTTTGCAGGGACAATCTACAAATTGGTGGTGGGGGGGGGTGCTTTGCCTAACTGATCATCGGGCGATCGGCCTGTGGGTGGTGTGTGCCACTAAGTATGTAACTGGAGGGCTGCATTTCACTCTGGTAACAACACATTCAAATGGCGGTAAACTGTCGCTGTTTTAAGGATGATTTAGTGGGGGGCCGGGGGAGCAATCTGGCATGAACTGAGCTCACACACTGCATGGCCCAGGACCTGGGTCAGGGCTCAGTGGTGTCGCTTAAACCACACAATCACCACCCCCCACCGCGCCTGTATCTCCCAAACTTGCCAGATCATAGGGATCACACTGTCTTCGGAGTAAGGCATTTTCTTTCAGTTTTTCTTGGGGAAGAAACTGAAGTCTCTAAGAGCGTCCCTGGCCAGCCTGAGGTCACACAGAGAGAGATGATGATGTCACTGCGGGTAATATGACCTCACTTGCTCATGTTTGCTGAGTACTCATCATGGGTTAAGGACTTCACACGCAAAGTCAAGATTTGAAGCCTGACTCCCAGTCCGGCTCATTTCATAATCTAAATTCTTGCTATTACCTCATACGTCTTCCCAGAAAATACTTGAGAACACATCCGTTGAAGATCTGCAAAAAACAGGGCAGCCGAGGGCAGAGGGGAAAGGATGGGGCAGGCACATGGTAGCTGTTTCCAAATATTGAAAAGGTTGTCACTCTGCAGGTCAATTACACTTAGACCACATGTTTCATTTTGCATATGCCCTAATTTGGGGATACATTTTGGTGAAGCCCATTCACCTCTTGCTATCTTTCCCCAGTGGCTAGAAGTCGCCACCCGTGATAGACTACTACAAGAAGAAACTCTGAGAGACCAAGCTGTCCAAATAGGGAATAAGATGACTGCAACACCCCACCCCCACCTCTACCCACCCCCACCCCGTGGCTGGGAGTTGCCCAGCAACAGAGGTGTCCAAGCTGGAGGACCCCCGGTGGGGAGATTTTAGGGGGGACCTGAGGTATCTGCAAAAGCAAAAAAAAAGGGGGGGCTCCATGACAGTCACGGTTCTTTATAAGTTTGCAAGTTTAATTCTACAGAAGTTCACATTTATTCTATTTACAAATGGGTTTTAAAATCAGGAGAGGGATGTAAAGTGGGTCAGTATTATCGTCCAGATGGGGAGGGAATTGCGTCACTGGAAGCTGTGAGCAGCCAAGGGTTCCAGGGAGTAAATCAGCTCAACCACTGAGTAGCTGAAACTCTGTGTGCATCAGTCACTGAGCGGGCTTTAGAAAATGACAGACACCAGGGTTTGCAATCCAGACGGAATGAAGCCGCATCCCCTGGGGGTGCCCAGGAATCAGTAATTTTTAAAGCGACCCAAGGTGATGCTAAGGTGCAGCAAAGAGGGAGAACCACGAACTGGAGAAAACGAGGCTCACGCAGAGCTTGATCTGGGTGCCCCCTGAGCCTCGTGATGACCAGGAATCCGTTCGTCTCTCCATCTGGAACGACCATCTCTGACACGGGGGCGGTTGTTGAGGGACTGTTTGTAAGTCAAGAAGATCCGAATCAAAATCCCTCTAGCATGTTCCCTTGGGAGTCAGGTGAGGTCCTTTGATCCCTCAATTAAAGCCATGAAGTTCCTGACTTTTCAGGCTATTCATGGAGATTCATGGAGATAAAAGTCCTCACAGATTCATGGACATGAAAAGTAGAACAGTGGTTGCCAGAAGCTGGGGGGCTGGGGGAGGGCAGTAGAGAACGTGGAGTTAACTGTAACAGGCAGGGAGTTTCAGCTGGGGAGGATGAGAAAGTTCCGGGAATGGATGATGGTGACGGTTACATAACAAGGGGAATGCATTTAATGCTACTGAACTGTACACGTAAAAGTAGTTAAAATGGTCAATTTTATGTTATGTATATTTTACCACAATAAAAATATTATTTAACATTTCAAGTACAGTGACTGTACGAAAAATATAATGAATGTGCATTGACCGACCCAACTGCACAGTTAGCACCATGTCAAATGTTCTTCAGTCTTGTTAAGACTTAATTAATTAATTGAGAGGGTCAGGAGGAGTGGGAGGGAGAGAGAATCTGAAGCAGACTCCGTGCTGAGCGCAGAGCCACACGCGGGGTTGGATCCCACAACCACGAGCCCATGACCTGAGCTGAAACCGAGAGTCAGAGGCTTAACTGACTGAGCCCCCCAGACTCCCCATCTTCAGTCTTTTTAGATAAAACTTCACAAATTAACAAAAAAGCATTCAGAGGGGTTTATCCCGGTAATGGAAGGGTAATTCAACACAAGAAAAACGATCAATGTCATGTACCAAAACACATGATTATCTCATTTGGTGCAGAAAAAAGAACCTGACAAAATCCAACACCCTTTCATGATGAAAACACTTAGAAAACTGGGAAGAGAAGGGAATTTCCTCAACATGATACAGGACATTTATGAAAAACCCACAGCACGCATCATACTCAATGGTGAGACTGAGAGCTTTTTTCTCTAAGATCAGCAGCAAGACAAGGATGTCCACCTCCCCACTCCTACTCACCACAGTACTGGAAATTCTAGCCAGAGCGATTAGGAAAGATAAATAAATAAATAAATAAATAAATGGTATCCACATTGGAAATGAAGTAGTACAACTATATTTACAGTTGATGTGATTCTACATATAGAAAATCCCAAAGAATTCACACACACTAAGGCTACGAAAGCAAATACACAAATACACAAACCCACAAATTTGGCCAAGTTTCAAGGGCACAAGATCAACACACAAAAATCAGCTGTGTTTCCAGATGCCACCCCCCACGAACGATCTGAAAAAGAAATAAGCAAACCATGCACAAAAGCTTCCAGAGCATCTAAGGTGTGGACATGGTAAGAGTCTCAGCATCCTTTGAAGTGGAAACACGTTGTTATTAATGGTGTCCATAGGCACGTGCTTCGGCACCTTTAACTTTTTAAGCACATTAGCGCATCTCATATTAAAATGAAGCAGAGGGGCGCCTGGGTGGCTCAGTGGGTTAAAGCCTCTGCCTTCAGCTCAGGTCATGATCCCAACGTCCTGGGATCGAGCCCCACATCCCCACATCCCACATCCCCACATCGGGCTCTCTGCTCTGCAGGGAGCCTTCTCCCCCCCCCACCCCCGCCTGCCTGTCTGCCTACTTGTGATCTCCGTTTGTCGTCTGTCGAGTAAATAAATAAAATCTCTAAATAAAATAAAATAAAATAAAATGAAGCAGAGCAGACAGATTTGACAGGGATGGTAGTGTGGACTGCACAGGCCGTGTAGGGGAAGCGGAGTCACATCCACCGGCACTTCTGAGAGGCCTGGGTCTTGGCCATCCTGCCTCCCCTCACGTCTCTCAAGACTCACAGGAAACTGGGAAGCAAAGTTCCAGGCCCCTCGGAGGAAATCAGGCCTGAGTCAGCCTTCCTGGGAGGTTGAGGGAACAGATTAGGCCCAGCAAACTGTTTACTGAGGAGGGTGTTTTTTACTTGAAAAGTTGGTTGGGTTTTTTTTTTTTTTTTAAGTTGAAGAAGGAACTAAAAGTGTTTTTAATTATTGTTTTGTGACAAGGGGACAGAAAGATGAAGGGTTTGCCAAGTATTGCCACATTCTTAGTTCTCGATGTTCCAGAGACTCTAAGGCTGGTGGTTGGTTCCATCACCCAGACAGCTCTCCTTACCCCTTGTTTCTGTTCCTTTCTCACTGACAGCTAATGGGCATCTGCCAAGATCTATGGATGGAAACACTGGGCAGAGAAAAAGTCTGAGTGCAAGGAGGTGATCTGCTGAAAGGGATTAAGCCCTGGACGGGTGGCCAGAAGACCTGGGTTCTAGGCTGGCCTCTCTCGGCCCCCAGCTGTGTGGTTTTGAGTCCATCCCCCACCTTGATTCTTGTCCCTAAAGGGAAGAGGGGCAGGGCAGGGGTTGGGAGGGGCAGAGATCCTTTTGACTTTGACATTCTAGTTTTTCTAAAGGCCAAACCCTTTAAGAATTCAAAAGAACTTTAAAAGAAAGAGGAAGTGACATTGACTGACAAGAAAGATGGAAAGAGAGGCAAATTTTTAAAGAATGGACAAGAGTCGTTTCTACTCCAGGCCAGTCTCTTCTACTTGACCAAAGCTGAGCCAATGCCAGAGGCTTGGGTAGACTCAGGAGGGGAGAAGAGCTGGCAAGGGAAGCAAAAACAGCAATCCTGTTTTCAGTTGCCCCAGGCCAGGGCTCCCCAAGTAGATCTCACAAAAGGCCCAAATGGTCCTGTGGGCAAATCAACCCCATTGTAGACCTGGGTTTTTTTTGTTGTTTTTTTATTGTTTGGTTTTTTTTTTTTAAGATTTTATTTATTTATTTGACAGACAGAAATCACAAGTAGGCGGAGAGGCAGGCAGAGAGAGAGAGAAGGAAGCAGGCTCCCCGCTGAGCAAAGAGCCCGATGCGGGGCTCCATCCCAGGACCCTGGGATCATGACCTGAGCCGAAGGCAGAGGCCTTAACCCACTGAGCCACCCAGGCGCCCCTGTAGACCTGTTTTGAGAGGGAAAGATTTTTTCCAGTTGCACTATTCAGCAAACATCTAGAAAGTGCCTACTATGTGCTGGGTGTTGTGGGAGATCAGCAGGGGTACCTGGCTAGCTGGCATGCTGAGGGAGATGAGGCATGTGCACAAATCCCCAACGTCTAAAACACAAAGAAGAATGTGAAACCCACCCTAAGGGAGTTCAGGGAAATCTCTGGAGTTCAGAGTGGGGGCTGCTCCCCCTTAACCTGGGAAGTTCCAGAAACAGGCTGTAAGGGCTGAAGCACAGATTGGGGGAAAGCCTTGTCCTTCCAGGAGCAGCAACATGCCCCAGCTCCATTCTAAAGAAGTGAAAACCAAAACAGAAAGGCAAGTTCTTTGCTCTCTGATCATCCAAGTAGTCAGCAACCCAGGCTGATTAGGGAACTACAAACCGATAACTTCCCCCAGGAATTAGCTGTGGAAGATGAGATAAAGCTCATTTTCAGGGAGGAAATCCAGAGTCACAGCCTTCTTTCCCAGTTTAAACCCAAAGACACACCGACCAAAATTCAAGGCAGGGTGAAAAAAATTCATAAGCAGGCTGAAGTCACATGTATTTTGGGTCTGAAGGGAGCCAAGGTCTCAGAAGCGGCAGCTCTGCCTCCTTGAGATGGGGTTCTTTGTGCCAAGTACAGCTGCCCCATTATAAGTGCGTTGCAGGGGATACCATACATCCGGAAGAAGACAGATGAAAACCCAGGCAAGCCCTCTGCTTTTGCAGAGCGAACGTGGCCGCAGGCTTTTCAGCATTGAATTTGAACAAGCCAATGGCATCCCAATCATTGAAACAGGAAGCCAGATAAACAGCGTGTTATCAAGGGGGGATGCGGGCGCTTCCCTTAAGCCGGCGCCAGCAGCGCCCCGTGGCCGTCCTAACAAAGTCCCATTGACTCACCAGCTGATTTTCCAGTGTTGGGCTCCGCGGGACAAGGAAGCCTCTCTGCTGGGTGGATTTCACCCCTGCACACCGCCCCCCACCACTCACCACTCACGTCCTCCCCCGATCCTCCCTCCGAAGACTGGGCTGATTCTTTATGCTTTGACCAGGTTCTATCGGCTCTGAGAGTAGAAGGGACCACAAGAGCCCAAGCACCGAGCGCCCTCAGGTGAGCTCCTGGTGTTCACCCAACCTCACCTTTCTCCTCCCTCCCGTGTCCCCCAGGAGGGCTTCCTCTAGGCTGGCGCCGAAGAGGGCAGCCTCAGGGAGTCTGGCGGGCGGACGCTTCGCAGCGCAATCTGGGCACCCAATGAACATTTTCCGAAACAGCCCAGCAAGGTCACCTGCGCCAGCTGCTCCGCTCGCTCCTCTGGGATGGGAGAAAATGTGGGTACAGTATGTGCGTGTGTGTGTGTAATACGCGGTACTTGGTGCTTCTGGTTATAGGATCTCAACACACCTTACGTTGCAGGTATTTCACAGAAAGGTAAACTGAGGCTCCGAAAGGCTGGGGCTGGGTAGCCCCTAATGAGTCGACTCCTGGAGCAGACGCGCAGTCCCCCAAGGACGTGTCGGCACACACCCTCCCGGCGCCTCCGTTGTTATTCCAGCGCCTCTCCCGAGCCCAGCCCGCAGCCTCCCCGGGGCACCAGGCTCACTTCCCCCCGGGGCTCGATCCCGGCCCCGCGGAGTGGGAAGCGGCGGCCCATCTCTGCCGCCGCGCGCAGCCCGGTCCCCGCCCCCGCGACCACCCCGCGCAGGCCACTCACCCGCGCGCCTGCCCGCTCCGGCTCCGGGTCCCGGTCCGCGCCGCCGCCGCGCACAGTCGCGCATCCCCCGCGCGGCGCCGGGCCGGGCGCGCTCTCCTCGCGATAAGAAAGTTTCTCCCGGGTCCTCGGCCGGGTCCGCCCCTCGCACTGGGATCGCCGTCCGCCGCGCGCTCCGGTTGCGCGCTCGCACTAGGGCCGCCGGCGGCCCCGGCCCCACAATGAGCGGGGAGGCGGCATCCTGAACAAAGTGCGTCCCCCGGGACCGGGCGGCCGGGGGCGGAGCCTCGTGACCCGCTGCCCCAGGCACACGCCGGCTGCCTCCGACGACGCGGGCCCCGGGAGGGGGTGCCCGGCGACAGGGGGGGGCAGGGGGGCGAGAGGGAGGGGAGTCTCCGCTTCTGGTCCCCCTCGCTTTCCTCCCCCCGCACTGTGCCAGTTTAACCCGCAGAGGGGCGGAGGCATGGGTCCCTTCCAGACTTTGTCATTGGAAAGCTATTCCCGTAACCCTTTCCTGCCTTCGCCTTCCCGTCCCGCCTCCCCGGCCGCAGAAAGGCGGCTGCTTGGTGGCTGGGCTGGGGCCGAGAGCTGGCAGGGCAGGAAGCCTTTGCACAATTGAGCCTTTCCTTTGCCCGGGGACCCGTCACCCCCACCCACGTCCCGGGGCTGCTGCTGGTTCGGGCATTCTTTGGAAAAGGGCAGATCGATCCGCCAGCCTCTTCGCCCCGCTTCTGACTCCGCCCACCCTTCCTTCTTCCCTACCCCGGTCTGAGCTGGGACTCGTGGGAGCAGAGGAGGGGGAGGCCCCAGAAGTGCCGGGCAAATAGTAGGTGCTCAGTAAAGTAACGTGACTTCTTCCCACTTTCCTGACTCTACCACTGCCTCTCTTCCTTCGAGGGCCGTGGGAGTGGGAGGAGGGGGCAGAAGACGGGAGAGGAAACCACAAGAGCTGAAGACCGAGAATGGGAAGGAGGTTGTCAGCCAAAACCTCGTACAACCTCTCTGCAGTGCAAGGATTCCACGCCCCCCATCCCTCCTACCCCCACGCCCGCCTCCTAGCCTGAGGGCTTCCAGACTGTGCAGGAAGAGTCCAGAAGGAAATCAGGTGGCCAGTGCCCCTGGAGCAAGCTTTGAGTTCTGTAAGTGAAAGGGAGTAGCTGTGGCCAAGGACCCAGCAGACTGGGACCAGAGATCTCACCAGCTTAAGAACTCATTTAATTCCCAGGTCTTGAGGGGTTGAGATAGAAAGAAAAAAAAGAAAAAAAAATGCGAACTCCCTAGGAGGTCTCTGAATGCTTCACCAGCAGTATCAACCAGTGGGGAGCAGAGTCACCGTGAGAGCCCCTGAGCCTTGCCTGAGCCCCTAATCAGGTCACAGTACTCGTGGACATAAAGGGAGGGTCAAGGACCCCTAGACCGGACTAGCAGTGGCATTGAAGACGTTCCCATCTGATCAGGGGAGAAGATTTTTAGATGGCATTTGTCTATGAAAGGAATGAATGGTCTTTTGAGGTGGGGAGAGGGGATGTGTCTGGGACGCCGGAGATGAGTCCCGTGCCCTGCGTGTGTGTAATGGGTGAATGCATGGGCCCTTAAGGCAGATTGACTGGATTCAAATTCCTGGATCTCCCACTTACTAGCCATAGGAATTCCCATGAATTCTTCCATCTCTGACCACCTCCATTTCTTCATCTGTATGTAAATGGGATAATAATTGCCACTGTGTCCTAAGATTGTTGGGAGGATTAAGGGCAATGAACACAGGTGACACGCTTAGAAGAGTGCCTGGGAGCATTCTGTATGCATCATTGAGTCTGAGTCCTACAGCCCTGCTTCCATTTGGTATTTGGTGATGTGCTAACTGGAATTCTGTCCTGCTGTTCACAGTCCCCTCTGCCTGCAAAGGGGAGGCGTGGTCGTTTAAGAAGAAGCACGGTGTCTTCTTGAGGGCTCATAGAGTGGATTGTCTGAGCTCTTTGGCTCTCCCAGAGCCAGAGACCAGGATGACACAACAGTTAAACAAACCAGTATCAGAAACTGAACCGCCCCGGATCCATCTTGAGGCTAGATAGGGGACTCTCACCCACATGGGTAGTGTTGGAATGATGCTGTTCCTTGGGTGCTACCAGAAAGGAAAAGAGGGCCAAAGCTATAATTTTGTAAGGGTTTAATTTCTTCCATCAGTGCATACAATTAATATTTCTCTCCCATTTATGAATGGCTGATCATACAAGTCCCCTCTGACCCTGCTCCAAATGTCCCCGTCGTAAGCCTCCAACAGATAAACAATAGCATGGGGACAGGGTGGTGGGGGGGTGCGTAGAGAACAAACAGGCCTGCCTGGCCGGGGTGACAGAGCCCCCTGAAAGCCCCCTGAAAGAGAAGGTGGCTGGGACAGAGCAGCAGAGAATCGAATCCAGAAGCAACTCTGGACAGAGCGCCTTTGGGGTGTAAGCAGGGTCCCCGCCCATCCCAGAAGCGGCTACTGCCAAGTGCCTACTTTGTGAGTGATTTTTCCTCTGAACACAGTGATGACTCAGTTGCTCTGAATCAAGCAAATGGATTTTCCTTAAATATGAAAATCAATAAGAAGGGAAGGCAGTGGCCTGGTTGTGGAGAGCAGAGGATGGAGAGAACAGCAGGGATGCTGGAGAGTCAGACGGTTGGTAATGGAAGGAGGTTCAGGCTCTCTGCTGGGGGCCCCTTGGCTCAGCGCATGTTACCCTCCCCCTCTCATGCAGAAGGTGGCCTCTAGGACTTGCTGACCTTACTGAGTCTCCTTAAAACCCAAGAGCTTCCCCTTGCCCCTTCCCCTTCCACAGCTTTGAGCCAACCCTGCTTCAGGGCAAGAGATTGTTAACAAGAGGATTAATGTCAATGTGACAAACGAGTTTTAAAAAATCAGCCCAGGAGCCTGGTGTCACCCCCCTGGAGTCCCAGACCTGGCTCGAGTTGAGATGAGCGCTTTGGGAGCCCCAGGAGACAGAGCAAGTGGCATTTCCAGACCCAGCCTGATTTCTTGGGGGGGGGGGGGGTTCTGCCTGTTTTCTTGCTGCCTTGAGGTCCGCGGACCCATGCTTATTTGTTTCCCCACTTGGGTTATCTGATGTGGGACCTCTGGGGATCTGAGCAGTCAGAGCTCCTGTGCTCCGTGGGACCCAAGGAGGGACTGCCTTTCCCTCTGGCTCTCTTGTTCAGGCCTTCCAGAGCCTTTGGTTAAGGCCCTTGGTGGGGATATGAAGACGGCACGTGGCTTTATTTTCTTGAGCATTTAATAAATGTCATGAGAGCCTCTGAGGTGGAGTCTGAGGGAGCCTCTGACTTCCTCCTCCTCAGCACAGTGGAAAATCACCAGGCATGGTGTCAGGAGACCTGAGTCCGTGCTTTGGTTAGGCTGCTGGCTCAAGGGCGTCACCTCAGTGTGCTCAGCAGTAAAAACGTAAAATGGGTGTTGACCCCCGGGGGACAACAACAATCACCCGCTAAGGCTTAGGTGAGTTTTCAGTGAGATAATGGAAGAGAAAGTGGTTTCTAAAGTGCTGTGCAAAATGTAAGCAGAAGCTTGACTATGAGACAGAAAGCACCAGTCCCTCCCCCGCCCCGGCTTCTTCCCCACCCCAGTCACATGCACTCTGCTTAGGGGCTCAGTGCTTGAAAACTCACTTTTAAATGGTAGACATCTGACTGTCCACTAGTAACCCTTGCCCTTTCTTGCTTGATTCATTAACCCTGGAGGGGCTGCATGCCAATAGGATTGGGGGGAGGGGTGGGCAAAGCATCTTTCCTCATCTGTGGCCACTCAGACCTGAGGACTGGCTTCAGGGTCCCCTTTAAGAAGGGCCCTCTGTGCTGATGGCTTGAGCTTAGGAGGACCTGGGAGAAACAGTCTGTGGGAAAAGCTGGCATAGTCATGAATGTTTTATGAGCCTGGGCGAGTCACTGCCTTATTGGGAAGATGATGATTCTCTCCCTTTCTTTCTCTTTCCTTTCCTTTTCTTTCTTTCTTCCTTCCTTCCTTTCTTTCTTTCTTTCTCTTTCTTTCTTTCTTTCTTTCTTTCTTTCCTTCTCTCTTTTTTTTTTAAGATTTTATTTATTTATTTGACAGAAGGTGTGTGAGAGAGAGAGAGAGAGCACAAGCAGGGGGAGCAGGAGAGGGAGAATCAGGCTCCCCACTGAGCAGGGACACCCCCTCCCCATGTGGGACTCCATCCCAGAGCCCTGGGATTATGACCTGAGCCAAAGACAGACACCCAACTGACTGAGCCACCCAGGAACCCCACTCCCCTTCTTTGTTACCAGGACATGAGATGTACTGAAAGTCTTCACAGTGTTTTTCCAAAGATGGCTTTTCAAGGCAAGTGTTTCTTTAAGGGGCCTGGAGGGTAGGGGTGGGGTTGGCAAAGAGAAGGAGTCCCCTTGAGGAAGGCAGGCTCTGGCTATAGCCATCCTGGAAAGGAGAGTCGTAGTCCTTCCTTCTGGGTGGCACTGGGTATGGGCCAACTGCATTTCCAAACACTTCATATGCTTTCATCCATTTTATCCTCCCAATGACCCTTCGAAATAGGTATCGTTTTTACTGTATTTTGTAAGTGAAGAAATTGAGGTATCTTGCATGGTTCTGACAGCTGGTAAGTGCCAGAGCCAGGATTTGAAAGGGCAGTCTAGCTCCCGAGGCCATGCTTTCACGTGCTATGTTGAGGCAGAGAAAGGAGTCTTTTGGTGGCAGTGTGGGGTAGCAGTGAAGGGCTCTAGCATTTTCTAGCTTCATACATTAATTTATTTCTAGCTTCTTAACAGTTTTGAAATATACATTATGTATACGTCAATTCACCCTTTGTCATTATATGATAGTATGATTTCTAGTAAGTCTATAAAGCTGTGCAGCCATCCCTACAACCAAGTTCTAGGATGTTTCCGTCACTCCTCTTTTAGGATGTGTTTTCATCTGACTCTCAACTCCCTCATCCGTGAAATGGGAAGAACAGTGCCTGCCTCATAGGACTGTTGTCAGCATTAAATGAGCTTGCAAGTGGTATAGGGTAAATGCTGAAGCAAACGTCGTTACCCTTATGGCCTCTTAGAGTCATTTAAATACACATTTTTAGAACTGGGTGTGGTCTTAAAGAAAATCTCATCCCAGCCTCCCCTTTAAGGGATAAAGAAACCGAGGTGCCAAGAAGTTGAGCAATTTACCCATTAAGAACACACAGCAAATTTAATGGCAAGGCTGGAACTGAAACCCAGGTCTCTTGGTGGAGCGTTGAGTGCTCTCTCATTTCTGGAGAGACTTTCTACCCCAGGCACAGGGATGTCATTGTTTTGCACCCCGCTCTTTGTGGGTGACCCCAGAACAATGCCGCCTGGCTGACTCGGACCCCGGGAATTTGCCTGGGCTAGAGCTGGAATGCCCATCATGCTGGCCGTGGTGCAGAGAATGCGGCTGGGGGAGGCTGGGTGCAGAAGCAAGGGACAAGAGCTAATGTGGAGGCTGAGGCAGGCATGTCCATTTTCAGAACAGGGGATGCATTGACTCAAGGCAACTAAGAGACAGCCAGTCTCCTAGAGCCCATGGGTGGGCCAGCTTCATGGACATGTGACCTGTGCTGTCACATGGGACCCTATACTTAGAAGGATGCTTGGTTTGATGCTTTGCTGTTGCAATCTTTAAATTCTCAATACTTTTTTAAACAAAGGAGCCCACATTTTTTATTTTGCACTGGATCCCAGAAATGATGTAGCCAGCTTTGCCCATTGGACAGGGAATGGAGCCCAAGCTAGATTCTCTCTCTTTTAAAAGATTTTATTTATTTGAGAGAGAGAGACAGGAGCAGAGGGAGAAGGACAAGCAGACTCCACACTGAGCGCAGAGCCTTATGGGGGCTTGATCCCAGGACCCTAAGATCATGACCTGAGCCGAAATCAAGAGTCAGATGCTTAACTGACTAAGCTACCCAGGCATCCCTCTTATATCAATAAATATTATTAAAATACTAAGAAAAAAGTGTCTCAAGAGGGAAAAACGAGGGTAAAGTGGGGTCCCTGAAGAATGGTAGATAGAGGCAAAACGGTTGCAGGCCCATGATGGAACCAAGGGAAGGAAATTGGGTGTGAGAAGAGGGTGGGCGCTGTGGCATCCACTTTGGTGGGTGGCAGTGGGGTGACCGGAGGTGTTGGAGAGTTGTGAGCTGCTGAATGGCCTCTCGATAAAGGTCGTGGAGGTGACTTTGGCTGCACTCAACAGAAATGGGTGAGTTGGGGATAGGCAGGGAATTACCTACATGAGGAAGAGGGATGGGGCCTAATGTGGGATTTCCCAGGGATGGGGAGGTTGCATGCAGTGTGTTTAGTGGATGGAGTACAAGCCTTGGAGTCTGGGCAGCAATCAGATGTCAGATTCACTGTCTTCTGTGTGGCCTTAACCTTGATTTCTCCCCCTATGAAACAGAAATGATCCTGACAACACATACCTGGTGCGTTTGGGGGAGGATTTGATGATGTGATACAGGTAAAGCATTGGACCCAGTGCCTGGCACAGACCCAGAGCTCCAGAATGTTCTCCCTTCAATTGATTCTGTGGTTGGAGGAACTACAGTGGCAAGAAATCGTTTGCATATATAAAGAGCCATTCTTTCAAGCACTTCCCACCCAGTTTTCCGGGAGAGCCACTAGGAGCCAGGATTCTGAGCTCCAGCCTGCAGAGGCCTTAGCTGAGCCAACCCGGAAGGGAGAGGAGCTGGCTGAAGCCAAAGGACTGGGCAGCAAGACAGAGGAGGAGGACTCAAGGCTTTGACTCTCAAGCTGCCGCCAACGAGGCTAACTGGGGCAAACTGGCAAGGGTCCTACTTTGGGATCTCTAGGAAAGAAGTGGTCTGTGAATGCTTATCCCAGTTTTCCCGCATTTCTCTCCCTCCCTGGCCCTTTCTGCACATCCCCCTCAGCTTTGGGGAGTGTGGGAATGATTGACGAACCCTGCTGCAGCACCCCCCCTCCACCCATGGGTACAGATGTGCTGGGCAGCAGCTGTACCCTGCAACCTACACCTGTCGCCTAGATCAGCTGTCGTAACTCTACTCCTGGGAAAGTAGGCCA